CCAAGTTCAATCCCTGGTACCAAAAAAAAAAAAAAGTTTATTCATCATTATAGGAAAGGCCAACTGATGTCTGCAGAGTGTGACTTAGTATTAGTGTATAATACATTAAACATTAGCACTTTTTATTCCGAATTGGGGTAAATATATGCACTACCACTATTAGAAAGAAATGGGCTAAGAATTCTTGAGAGAAAATTGGTGACAGTGTTCTTTAAATTTTTTTTTTTTTTTTAGGGGTGGCAGATGGTGTAGGAGGATGGAGAGACTATGGAGTTGACCCATCTCAGTTCTCAGGGACTTTAATGCGAACGTGTGAACGTTTAGTAAAAGAAGGACGGTTCGTACCAAGTAATCCCATTGGAATTCTTACCACAAGCTACTGTGAGTTGCTACAAAATAAAGTACCTTTGCTTGGTAAGTAAATGGCAATGTATTTCCTCTAGAGAAGCCACTTGAGGGTTAAAACAAAACCAAGAAAATGATTTGCCAGTCCAGCTCTTTTCTGAGGCTCTTCCTAGTGAGCAGAGTTTGGAGAAGCTGCAGGCTAACCAGAATATAGGATACTGCCTGGAGGGAATGTAAATAGGCACAGCCCCTTTGGAAAACAATCAGGCATTGCTAAATAAAGTTAAGCATGGACATATAGCATGCCCAGCAATTCTCCTTTTAGTTGTTTTCAGTAGACTAGAGAAAATTGCACAGCCTTGTACCTAGAGCCAGCTAGGTATAAGAATGTTCTAGCAACATTGTCAATAATAGCTGAAAAGTGGGAACAACCTAAAAGTTCATCAGAATAAAAAACTGTGAAAAGAAACAAAGCTGCTTGCAATACTCAGGAACATCTTGTGAAGGGGAAAAGAGGACACTGCAGAGTACTATCATATATTTCAAGTTTAGAAACATAAAAAGTTAAAAATGTATTGTCTGGGAGTTCTGAAACATGATAAAGAAAGGAAAGCAAGAGCTTGTAGTAGTCAGAACCTGGTTCCCTCCCAGGGAGAGGGAACAAGGCTAGGGTCTGGCCTACAGAGAGGTCAAGGTGCTGACAGCCATGTCAGGCCACCAGCAGTTGATTGGTCCATGAAATAGCTTGATACAAATGAGACCCCTGTCACTTGTATTGGAAAACTTAAAACTGACTGCCTCATGGTTTGTTTATCTGATATGCTAATGGAGCATCCTTTGGCCTGGCTTCTATATTTGCTTGTTAAATGGTTTTCGTTTTCTGGGAACCTACCCAGCCTTCTCAGCCACCTATCAGAAAGGGTGTTATTAAGTTTGTGTTAATTGCCAGCATCTTTCTGGTTACTAGAAGGGCTCCCTCATAGTTACCATCCACTTTTTTGACGGGTGTGTGTGTGTGTGTGTGTGTGTGTGTGTGTGTGTGTGTGTGCTGGGGGTTAAACTTGGGACCTCACACTTGCCAGGCAGGTGCTGTGCCGCTGAGCTAAATTCCCTGGCCCTCACCATCCACATTTACAATCAGCCTTCTTTCAGTCTTACTGCAGATTGCCATGTTGTGTATTTGCCTTCAACTTAAATCCTTTTTATAAAGGATTCTTTTTATCACTCTGCCATCTTAGTCTCCTCTGTGCTGTGATTAACCAGATTGTTTTCCTTCTAACTGAATAGAAATCTTGTCTTGCAATTTCTGTATGCACTGCTTTTCTTAATATCCTTCACTGGATATGCAATTGGGAGATTACCTGGCAAGAAAAGCATTCTAGATTCTATTTCTAGTACCTCTCTTATCAGTTTGCTGTATGGCTTTGGGCAAACTACTTAAACTGTTAAATGGAGAGAGAGTCCCAGACAGGTTCCAGAGGTTGACTCCTGCCTGTGCCAGTGGGCCCCTCTGCCACCACCATCTCTTCTCACCCCTATCATTTCTTTTTGCTTTGGACAGCCAGTTACAAACATCTAGCTAGCTGGCTTTTTGCACTTTATGAGCTTTGGTATTTTGCTGTTTTTTTCCCCATTCTCTGCTTCCCTTCCTGTTCACTCTCATGTAACTTGGAAATGTTAATGAAGGACATGTTAAAGGTTTGCTTATATTGAATATTGTGATTATGTTTTTCATCAGAGACACATTGAAATAACCCTCTGTTGCCATCTCTAACATACATGTCCCTCCCCTAATCAACATGTCTAGATTGTTTATAACTAAACGTAAACAAATTTTGACAAAGATAGGTTGCTGAACCTCAGATATAATTGTAAGTAACAATAACTTTACAAGATTAATCATTTTTTAAATTGCTAAAAAGCCTACAAAGTAAATCAAATATAAAGGACAAGCCAGTAGTTGTGCCACTTACTTCTTTAAATGTCTAGCTGCTTTTGGGTCTGGGTTGGCATCACAGGCTAATTGTTGACATGTGTTCCCCTAGAAACCCTAAGTGCATTCATAAGGTCTTAAAAAATCAAAATGTCTTTAAAATTTGAGGGTTTATTCCTAATAAGGTTATCCCTTTCTCTGCTGCACAAAAGGCCTAGTAGAGGCTTACAAAATAAGGGGCTGAGTGATAAAAATATTTCCATTTTAGCAGGAGAGATTTGCCTGGGCCAGTCATCTAAACATCTGACACTCTTGGGACTTCCTTTCTTTCTCTTCTTCACCTGCTTGTTTGTCTGCAGACATGAGAATGATGAGCTCTTCGAGTATTAGGCACTCAGGGCCTGAGCCAGGTGTACATGTCAGTAATTTGAGGCGGCCAAGAAGGAGTGTACACCATGATCCTGCAAGGCTGGGGGTGTGTTCATCACTGGTGCTTTGGATTCTAAAATCTCCTGAAGACCATTTTGATTCTAACTCAGTGTGTTACTGTCACAGGGGCAGCAAAATGATAGCCTAGGCTTGTCAGTGAGTCATGATGAGTCAACATGAGTCTTTCGTACAGCAGAATTTTAAGGCTGTGCTACTCATCTGTCATTTTTTATTCTCAGGATCTAATTCTATCAGTTTTCAGAAGATCTTTTATGTAATTATATTAATGATAAATGGTTGGAGTTTTTGTGCATGCAGCTAGGAAAGAAGGCTAATTGGTGCCCTTTCCCTACTGTGAGCTATGGAGCAGGTTCTGGCAACACTACTAGTTAGTTATAGCACCTGTGATTTTCTTTTCTTTGGTAAATAAAGAATAGGAAACCAGTGGCATAGCTTTAGTGTCAGGTTAGAACCATCAATGCATATACTGCAACTTATAAGGAAATGGAATTTCTGAACATTAAGGATGAGAAAGATGCACATATTTTAGTTTTCTACATTAAGATACATTTTCACCTGACAAAAATAACAAAAATACCCAAAGCCCCACTAAGAAAACTATTAGTACTATGGTGATTATGCTGCCAGATTTATTCTTTCATATGTTTGTTTATGTGGAGAGTAATGGTAAGTGGAATTGAGTCTCCTGTGTGCTCACAGCAGCCCCATAAGGTAGGTACATGGGACATGGGTGCTTTTATTCCCCATTTTGTTAGGAAGAAACAGGCCTAAGGGAATCGGCTCCTTGCTCAGGTCACAGAGCCAGAAAATGATAGTGCACTGGGATTTGCACAGCTGGTTCCACAGCCTATTTGCTTTGTTTTTTAACTGTCAGCAGTTTAGAGTTTGTGTATTATTGCTTTTCTCTTTTTATTTATAGTAAACTTCATTTTTTGATATACAGTTCAAATTTTAATGGCCCAGTTTTTTTTAAAGGAAACTTTAATACTAATTGGTTATCTGTTTTACTTATCTTTCCAAGTGTATTTCCTTAACATAATTTTAATGGCTGTTAAATATCTAATACTGTGTGTTGTAAGTGTTTGACAAGACTTAACTAATTTTAATCCTTTAAGACAACTGAATGAGTTGGTCACTATTAGTCTGAATTCTGTAAATGAGGAAACTGGGGCACAGAGAAGTTAAAAAATTTGCCCCAGGTCACACAACTGGTAATGGCAGAGTGAGGATTCATACACAGGCATTTGACTCCAGAGTCTGTACTTCTCCAAGTGTTACATGTGTTATGTGAATGTACCATAATTTATTTTGCTAGTCCCTTAGTTTTAATGTTTAGATTGTTCTTAGAGTTCTTCTTTATCTTAATGTTTATGTACTTAAATCTTACTTGCATTTGTAATTATTTTCTTAGGATAAATTCTCACAAGTGGAATTGCTAGGTCAAAGGACAAGTACTTTTTTCAGGGCTACATTGCCCTTAGAAAAGTTCATTTTACTCTTTACCACAGGGTAAGAGTGAGCACATTCTGTACACTTTGCCAGGACCACACATTATCTTTTGATTCAAGTTAACTAATAAGGTTACTGATACGATGATCTTTTTCATATATTACAAGCCATTTACATTTATATCTTGGCAAACTGCATGTTTTTCTGCATTGCTGTTTTTCTGGTAGAGGTACGTATAGGTTTCAATCTTAGTTGGAACTGACCCCTTCTCCTCTTATAGCTAGGCTCTCAGCCTGAGGAAGCTGCACGCAGCAGAGGGGCCCGGGGCTCTGGCAGTGGCTCAGAGGTGGGCTCTTCTCTCTGAACACTGGTATCTGTAAAGCAAACAGGTTGATTCCACAAGCTACCTGCAACAGTTGGCCTTGTTACGTCATAGTGAGTCATTGGTCTCCAATAAAAGTTCATTACTTCAACAGCTGGAAATCTGGCTTTAAATTGTAGTTATGTGCTCTGTCTTAAATGTTAGTGAATTTTGTGGAGAAGGCTTCCTGCCAATGACTAATGAGAACTGTCAAGAAAATGTAACATTCTCATTCTGGCATTTAAGTATCAAAGCTCAGCAGCAACATGCTTTTGAGTGTTTGACATAGATTATAGCACAAGTGAAATGAAGTCATGATAAGGTACCAGTCGTTTTTATTTTTTTCTATCTCTACAAAAGAATTCATACCTCAGTGGCTTACTTACTGTATATAATGTAAATCCCTCTTCTTTCTCCACCATGTTGACCCTAATCAGGTTGTTGTTGACATTCTTGGGGACATGGATTATAACTAAGAAAGTCTTGTTTAGGCAAATGATTCATATTATGTGATGCTGCTTTTTGGAGTTAGGTGATAAAAGTATGTGTGTGCAGAGGCAGCTGAAGAAGAGAAAAACAAATCAATGTCCATTTTGTTTCTAGGTAGCAGCACTGCCTGCATTGTGGTGCTGGACAGAACTAGCCACCGCTTACACACGGCGAACCTGGGTGATTCCGGCTTTCTAGTTGTCAGGGGTGGCGAGGTTGTGCACCGATCAGATGAGCAGCAGCATTACTTCAACACTCCATTCCAGCTCTCAATTGCTCCCCCGGAAGCTGAGGGAGTCGTCTTGAGTGACAGGTAATCTCCCCTCAGCCATGTTTGTGCAAGATGTGACTCACCCACAAGTCCCCTCCCATCTCCTTGAATCCACAGGGATAAGCACTTTTCTGTTTTCCTGTGAGAAGAGAAAGCACTGTGAGAATGCTCTCCTCAAGAGAGAAAACATTCTGGTCAGGCTTCAAAAGCTATTTTGCTTGACCTAGATGCTATAGCCAAATTGAACTCTGATAGACACCCAATAACATGACAGTCCTGAAAATACTGTTTCAGGAGTGTTCATTTTTCATACCAACACCACATGGTATGTGCAGTGTTGCAGTATGCCTATTAAATTGTACTGGAGAAAGGAGTCATTGTTCATGCCTGTCGTTGCCCATGCAAGGTTTTATGTACACGGGGAAGCCCACCAGTAGACATCTGTTTTATCTATCAGAATATCTTGCTGATTCTCCAACCATGTTTTCTTTGTTTGTTTTTGTGATACTGGGGATTGAATCCAAGGCCTTCGGACTGAACTACATCCCCAGCCCTTTTAATTTTTGTTTTTTTCCCTGCCCTTTTAATTTTTTGAGACAGATTTTGCTAAGTTGCAAAGTTGCCCGGGCTGGGCTTGATTTGAAGTCCCTCTGCCTCAGCCTCCCAGAGTGCAGGGATTACAGATGTGTACCATCATGCTGGCTTGGGTCTTCTTACAGACATCCCATAGAATTGCAGGAGAGTCAGAAGTGATCTTGTCCTGCACATGGTCTGTGACAGTGTCATTGAAATGGTCTCAATCTTTTTGTCATCTCTTAGTTCATTCTTAAATTATTAAGAATCTTCCGGGCTAGGGATTTAGCTCAGTGGTTCCTCCTCCTGCTTCGCAAGCGCAAGGTCCCAAGTTTGATCCCCGGTACCAAAAAAAAAAAAAAAAAAGATGTACTAAGAATCTTCCAAGATAGTTGGAACTTTTGGAATTAACCTCATGGCTTATCTTTTCTTAGATCACAGTAACACTAAGACAGTCTCAGGTTTCACTGCCTTTGAAAGTCTCAGCTTTCACTGGCACAAACACTTGCAATTCATAAATTAGTAATGAACCTTTTGTAAAAATTCAAGTATTCTAACAAGTGCTTTTTTGTTTTGTTTTTCTTTCCTACTTGTTAGCTCTTATTCAAGCAGATCTGAAGTCCAAACCAAGATAAAATGATTTTTTTTCGTGCTGTCTCTGAATCTGAAATGAACATATTTCTTCATTTGAAAAGTCTGTTGCTGTGCTTGCTTCGGCAGCACATACACTAAAAAATCTGTTGCTGACTCCGAAAGAAACCCTTTCTACTTTCAATTTAGTCAGATTGCCATAGATTGGAAGAATATTTTATTCTTCAGTTGGTTTTAATACACATTATTATTAACCGTATTGGAATAGGGAGACCTCAGAAGATCAGGGCCTTACTAGATGCTGTGCTCAGCTGACAGTTTTTAGAAAAGGTACTTTAATTTTCCTTCATTTGCTGCTGCTTGTTTTGGCTCCTCAGTGCTGGACCAGCTCTGCCCTATTGCACATGCTATCTTGGGGACAGCTGCACTCTCCCAGCCTGCCAGCCAGCAAGGTGGAGGTGGCTTCCCCGGGAGCCCAGAGACAGCTCGGTAGCATGTGATCACAGCTTGTGTTTCAGTGCAGTCAAAAGTTTCCAGCAGCACAGTATGTTCGATCAAAATGCGCAGAGCTGCAGCTGGCGGAACACCAAGCTCATGGGTGGGAGTATTAGCAGAGGAGGGCTGTCCAATGGGAGCAAGTCTCTCATGGGCAGAGTAGCAAAGGCCACTCCTGGGGAAGGAAAAACCTCAGCATAAAATAGAGCATCAGTGCCAACCTGGCCATTAATCTACACTCTTAGAACCTGACTCGTTGTCTCAAAGACTGAGCAGATGAGGGTGTCTTGTGTTGCTTCTCTTTCTTCCACAGAAGGAATTGACCTGCTTTCTACCAGTTATATAGCAAATTTTTTCCCTTTTAAATAAGAGGGATCAACCCCAGGGTGCTCTACCACTGCGCTACAGCCTTTTGAGTTTTTATTGTGAGATAGGGTTTTGCTAAATGGCCCAGACTGACCTTGAATTTGTCATTTTCCTGCCTCAATCTCCCCAGTAGCTAGGATTACAGGCGTGTGCCACCATGGCCAGCTAATTTTTTTGTTTTCTACTGCTTCATGTGTCTCCTTGGTTATTGGCATTCTTATCTATAAAATAATATTTTAATCTTGGATGTCTTATTTTTTGGTACCGGGGATCGAACTTGGGTCCTTGCACTTATGAGGCAGGCGGCGGAACCACTGAGCTAAATCCCCAGCCCTAGATGTCTTTCTTTAGTAGCTGTTTTTACAAAACATTCATTGTGTAATGTAGAAGTACGAGTGTTCCTGCACACTCCCATCACAGAGCTCTAGGTGTACTACTCTTAGTTGTGTCAAGCGAAGATGAATCAGAAATTTTCTCAGTATACTTTGTGTAAATCCCTCCACATGAGTAGGTTTGTTTGTTTTTATGACTTCACATATTTTATAACGTGTTACTGACACCAGTGTTGGGGATTTTCTGTCAAGGCTGGGGTGATTTGTTTCTGGCCTCTCTCTTCTAGGTCAGTGGATTTTTTTTCCCTGGCTCTCACTCCCTGCTTACAGGTTAAAGCAGATTAGACATCTCATCTTTCCTTACTCTTGGAGGCCCAGAAGCAGTAAAGGTGGTCTTTAGAAATGGCCAAGAATCAGCCTCAGAAAGGGCCATGAACTCCTCATATATCATCTTTTCTCCCATCTGGGATTTCTCCCAAGTCTTCCTTTGTTTTAGACCTTTGCTTTGCTTTGCTTTGCTTTGATATCTCTTCTTTCAATTTAATTTTGTTTGTTTATTTTGGTTTTTTGAGTCAGGGTCTTCTCTGTAGTCCAGGCTAGCCTTGAACTCCCCATGTAGCCCAGGCTGGCCTCAGATTTGTGGCAGTCCTCTTGCTTCAGCCTCTCCCAAGTGCTGGGATTACAAGTGTGCCACCACACTTGGCTCATGTTTTTTTTGTAAAAGTTGTAGTGGGCTGAGGATTTGGCTCAGTGGTGCCTCGCCCGCCTTACAAGCCCAAGATCCGGAGTTCGATCCCCAGTACTGGAAAAAAAAAAAAAAGTGTGGTGAGAAATCTCCCTGCTATCTCTGACGTCAGCCACACTTTCTCTAGAAGGAGCCACTGTTTAGAATTTCTTTGAATCTCTCCAGGTCGATTCTCTGCATTTAGAAGTCTCTACATTTATGTGTCTTTTCCTCTGTCCATTTTTTTTTTTAATTTAACAGAAACAGTTGCATATGCTGAACACTCTGTACCTTCCTCCCTTAACAACATATTAAACAGCTTTACCTAATTTGGAGAGTCAAATACTTTGATTCATTCAGTCACCCAGCAGATATCTCCTAAAGCTCTACATGTCAGGCACACTCATATAAATACGACAAGCACATTGTGACCCCTAGGAGATGTACTGTCCTTACAGTGCCAGAACCACTGCTGGTGTCCATGAGCATTTACTCCTCTAGAACTAGCACACTCTTCTTTGGCACCCTCCTGAGAGGTGGGGCCCAGCATGCGGGGGACTGATGAGTGCAAATGAGTAAGAGAAGATAGAATTTGGCACTGAAGAGTTAGGAAAGAGAGTCATTTCCTCTAGGGTTTTTAAGGCACATCAGGTCTGACTCAGAAGAGAGCCTTCCCCCTTTTTAAACCACATGTGACTAATCAGTAGACTTAATTTTACTTAGTGGTTTTAGTTAATCTTTATATGAGAGTCTTGAATTAATTTTTCTCAAGATGAAAGATTTCAGAATGAATTTTTTTAAAAAGTTGATTCCATTTAAAAAACTCATTGCATTGTAAAATGGTGCCGGGGGACCCTTTGAACCTTGTCTGTAAGAGGCTTGCTTAACTTTGCCCTCCCTGTCCTTGTCACAGCCCGGATGCTGCTGATAGCACCTCTTTCGATGTCCAGTTAGGAGACATTATCCTGACAGCAACAGATGGACTCTTTGACAACATGCCTGATTATATGATCCTTCAGGAGCTAAAAAAGTTAAAGGTAATTAACTCAAAGGCTAGTTGTTGGAAATGGTGGCCCGCTCTGGGCAGCTACCTTTTATTGAGTCACTTGCACTCTCTCTTGGTAGCTTTGGAAAGAACTACTTTATGAACGTTAGGAAATGGTAGTTCTAATATTCCAAGCAATTGTAAATGGAAATATTCACAAGAACTTGAAGGGAAAAGCAGCTTTTAGTAGGGCAGTAAAAACCAGATAAGGACATTTCTTGTTAGTATTTTTATTTTTATTTTTATGGTGTTGTCGGCTGGTTGTCTTTTTCTTGTTTTATTCTTATAACACACCCAGCAGGTGTTAAGGTGGAGAAAGACAGGAAACAGTCATGCCAGGGCCAGCCAAGGGCAGCAGGCAGCTTGGAGCCTTGATGCGACCTGAGCTGTCTGCAGTAATGAAACAGTGCAGACTTCTCCCATGCAGAGAGTGGCAGGAGGTGGAAACCAGGATTTTCCCATTCTCCTGGCTTTGTGAAAATACTGGCTCTGGGGAAAAAATCAGTTTTTCCCCCATCTTTTTGTCCAGCTACTGACTTTGGGTAAGTTTCTTCAACTGTTCAAGCAGTAGTTTCCTCCCATATAAAATGGGGAATGACAAAGGTCTTATCTTACAGGCTTGCAGAAAGCAGCAACCAGGACCATTGGGAAGGAATCTCTTAGTACCTTGCCTTGTGCTGCTCAGTAACTAGTGCTTCTGAGCAGTAAAGCCTGTGTTCTTTGTGGTAACAGTGGCAAACAGGAACCATGCCATCCCTGCCCTTGGGGGGCACACATTCTAGTAGGAGAACAGATAATACAGAGAGACAAGAATGCGTGACAGAATGTTGATGGCAGATAGGAAGAATAAGGAGAGTAAGGGAATAGAGACTACTACAGGCACTGCTACTTTTTTTTTTTGGTACTAGGGATCAAACTCAGGACCTTGCACTTTCAAGGCAGGCGGCGGCACCATTGAGCTAAATCCCCAGCCCATGCTACTTTTGAAAATTACTCAGGGAAAGCCTCTTAGATGAGGTGACATTGAAGCAGGGATATTTTAGACTAAAATGATTGGAATCTTGAATGTCGGAACAAAAACGGACCTCATTGTCCCATCCCTGTCTTGCAGATGAGGAAGTTGAAGCAGCAAGAACATGGGTGTGGCTCAGAGTTACATAGCTAGACAGGAGTCATCATGTTATAAAACTCTAAGGTATTTTCAGGAGGAAAATGGTCACTTGGGAAGCAAACAGTGTTGGCCAGGGCGCATACCTGAGGAAATATGGTCATCCTGATAATTCTCTTAGAGGCCAACTTTTCAGTCCATCTCATTTTAACAGGAATACCTTCAGGATTTCAAATGAGAAAGAAAAATAAAAATCCAAACTTCAGGGCCCAAGGGCACTGAGCTTTCTGACCGAGGTGTGTAGGCAGCACTGGTGGTATCGCTCATTAGTCACAGCCTAAGGGTTAAATGCCCCGCTAACTAGAAAAGAACTTCAGTGTGGAAAATGTGTTAGATAAATGATAAACATCTGAAAGAGTGGACTCTGCAAGTACACTTGCATACAGAAATTATTCGAGGCCTTATGGTGAAAATAACTCTTCACCCTCTTCTCTTAGAATTCAAATTATGAGAGTATACAACAGACTGCAAGAAGCATTGCTGAGCAAGCTCATGAGCTGGCCTATGATCCGAATTATATGTCACCTTTTGCACAGTTTGCATGTGACAACGGATTGAATGTGAGAGGTAAGCATTCTTTGGGAAGGTCACAGGAACTAACTGGGGACATAGCAGAGTGGGAGCATTCTGGGCTCACAGTGAGACTGCAGGTATCCTCTCCCAGCTGGGAGCCTCGCCTATGAACAAGGTCAGGAGGGCAGGCCTGTGCCAGCTGTGTCTTCCCTTCCAAGGATACCCTTCAGAGCTCAACTCCCTTGGCTGCAGAGGAGTCAGAACCTGAAGGCTTTCTTTCTGCCACTGCACTGCTTGGACCTGAACCCTAGAAGCCCCTGAGCACTGCCAGGAGGCCCGCACATTCCTAACAGTTGAACTTTCTGCCCTTCACGTGTCTGACATTTCGCTTCTCCCTTCCCCTGCCTCTGTGGGACTCATTGACAGTATTTGCGTGCCAGATTGCCACAGCAGATTTTGAAAAGAAAAGCAATGTGAAACTGCCCTTGACTAAAGAGTCCTTCTGTCTACTGTGTGGTGTGAGTTTGGGAGCTGGCCAGTCTCAATGACATGTTGGTGCTAGCATCTTAGAACTAGTGGGCTTGGTCAGGTTCTTGCTGACGTAATATTATGACATGTAGACCATTTCTTAGCCCTCTAGGAAATGTTAAAATAGAAAAAAGCACATGCCATAGCTGTTTGGCAGATTAGAATACAAGGCTATTCCTAGTTTCAAAACACTGGATATGTTTGTCCAAATTAGGATTGTGGTAGAGGCATGTAACTTTCTCATCAGGCTGAAGTTATCTTAACAGATTGCATCTCTCCTGTGATAGATGTAAACAGAGGATGTAGTAGCCATTTTCAGAGTTCCTGTTGTAAAGGCATAGGGAAGATCTTTTTAAAAGCTTCAATTAAATTACATGAAAATTCTTGGTGTTTAACATTTTAAAATATCAAATATGTTTTTCTTCTTTTTTTTCTGCTAGGGTATACTGACAAACCAAATCTGCCTGAAATGGAAGCATTTTTCTCTAATACTTACTTAGACCCACTTTTTTGACTGACCTTTCCTTTTAAGGTGTACTGATAGGTCTTCCCTTCTGTTGCAGGTGGAAAGCCAGATGACATCACTGTCCTTCTCTCAATAGTGGCGGAGTATACAGACTGACTCACCCAGCTGTTCACTCCTGCCTTCCCTCATCATCCCACTTGTCCCTGCCATGTGTGCTGATCCTGCTGGCAGGACCACGTTTCTTTGCCACTGATCTCAATGGCCAGTGATGTAAGCCTTTTGCCTGTCTTTTTGAGATCCGTTGAGATCTTTGTTGAGAACCACTACTATCGTTCTAGCTTGTATCTGCCAGCAACAACTGAAGAGGTACAAGATTTGAAGATTGGCCTTCATTTCTCATGGAGATCTTCAAAGCCTATTACTTTTCAAAGGCTATTACTTTTCACAAGCAGTTGAAATACAGAAAATGAGTAATGTTGGTAAAGTGAATTCAAAATTACAGTGTGTTAAAGGGATTTTAAAAGTCTAACACAAATTGTACGTCTACTAAAAAACATACATCATTCATCAAAAGAAATGTTACACATATACTCCACAGGTGTTGTCTTTGTTATGATGATTGGGTGTGGCATTATGTTTTCATTAAAAACTCCTATTTTCCAGGAGTTTATAATTCTGCTCTAAAACTGCCCTGGGTTATGAAACTTTGATCCCCAGAGCTTTTTAGTTACAAATTGGAAGGAAAGTTAATTTTAGTTTTATGGTTGCAAATGTTCTGTGCTTTTAAAAAGATGCTGTGTTCCTGTGATTAAAGTTTTGGCAGTTTATTGATTAGTCCACATCACAGGCTGGTGGCCTGATCTAGAGGAGAGGGTGAGGAAGGAGACACCTTACCAAAAATTTTTAATGGAAATACTATTCAAGGTTATAAAACTCCTCAAAGCCTAGAATTTACTGTTATGGCTGAAGTTTTTCCCTGCTGTTCGAAAGGATGCCCTAGATGGGATTTCTAGGCCCTAGGCCTGATGGGTTGAGAACAGACAGCTGTAGCTAGAAAGTTCACTGGCTTTGATGGTCTGCTGCCCATCGTGCCCTCCAGCCTTCCCTTAGGAGCCCTGCTTTCCTAGAGCATGCACCGAATTCACTGCAGCCACCTGGCAAGCGCACCGTACAAAGTGCAGTGGCCATCATACAAAGCCCATGAGGAAAACTAGTGATGATCTGACATTGCAATTACCCCAAGCAGAAATCTAGGGGTTTCTGAATCAAGCTTAATGTTTACAGTTTCCGAATAGCCATTTGCAGTGTACAGTTTCCTTATAAAACTATCCCGCATTCAGTTTCCCATTACCTACAAGCTCAAACTTATTTTTAAGGTTTGTGTACAAGTTGACTGCTGTAAAGATATATATTTTTGGGTCAGTTTTTTCCTTCATTAACTTGGTGGTAGAAAAAAATATATATATATACTTAGAAACCCTTAAATTAAAGCCATGTTTTCTATGAGTCAGGTAACATTGGTGTATAGATGAGAATGCAATTAAACCTGATGAGCATCTACTTGAGAACACAGAATGTCTTTTCTCTAAAGGAGATACTGACTCCCTGGTTTATTGCATTAAAACTTATGTTTGAGGTTACCTCAACTTCTTTTAAAAGATTTTGTTTTGTGAAATTGTACTGTATATTTGAGTAACTGTTGAGCTTTTGTTTTATTTAAAATTGTTTAACATGTACCATGTACATGTCATTACTATATTTCAATGCATCATGCTTGTAACAGGCATTTCATTTATAATAAGAATGAGTTATTCATTTGTAAACCATTCAGTAATTTATGTACTATTCCTAAATTGGCATAATGTTAGATACCTATTTTGAATCACCTTTAATTACATGTCAGAATGCCTTAACTACCCTAACTTGATAAAACCGAATTCTTTGATAGAGGAGATGGGGGTGGGGTGGGGGTGGAGGGAGACTGTTTCAGTAAGGAGAAATCATCATGCTCTGATCGAACACAAAGCATGAGTGGCAAGTGGTGGGGTATTTATTTTGCACAAACTATTTGCAGTCTCTCTGTATTTAAAAAGCAAAGAAAGTTGCATCCAGAAAGGGTTTGTTAAAAGGAATACATTTATACTAGACTGATGACTTCAGCTCTAGATTTGTAATTATTTTTGGTCAGAGGTATTTAGCCTTACGATCTGGATATATTTTGCATTAATTTTCCGATGCCTACGTTTAATTCCTAGTAAGAGCAGTACTGGTCAGGTTATTGGCTTTTCTGCTGTCATTTAGCCCATCAAACAATGTGTGACATGAAGCTAAATTGGTGGTGTTTTGCAGACTCATTTAATCAACTTACTTTTTTGAGAAATGATAGAAATCAACAATGTGGTTGTTTCAATGACACTGAAAATAATGGGACAAGAACTAAGTTCCACAGTGGAATTGACTTTGGACCAGGCCTATAGGTTAGTGACATAAAATTTTCTACTTTCTTTTTTCCCTGTCCTTTTTGTGTTATGCACTTAATTTTATAACTGCCAGGGATAGGCAGAGTGCTGCTTAACAAGTAACTCTCCTTTTCCTCTCAATGTCAGAGGCTATGTTGGTCCTAGAATAGAATTTTCCAAGCCACACATCCAAGCTTCTACAGTGTGACTGAGCTGTACCACTTGGTGGGGTCTGATTCTGAACCTGGTGTGTGTGTGTGTGTGTGTGTGTGTGTGTGTGTGTGTGAATTGTATTTTAAATCAAGCAGTGTAAACACATTTGGCTCATGTAATGGAGTTTTATAACAAAGGAGAAAATTTGGATTTCTAATTTACAAATGGCAAATTATTTATCCTTCTCTGGATTCACCAAAGACCAGTAAAGTTTATAGCTTTTCCATCTATATTTATAAAGCAATACTGTATTATAAAAATCAATATTTTTATCACATGCTTGAAATTTTTATTTTGTTCTGTTTTAAAATGTGCACTCTGAACATATCAGAACCTTATTTCTTCCTATGAACTTAAGCTGCCTGCGCACACACACACAAAAAAATTACCAAATGGTGATGCATATATAGAGTCCATAGGGTCTTAACAAACTGAAAGAAGGAATGAGGGGGAAAAACAAGTTGTTTGTCCTGAATTACTATACTGTACTTGTGTGACATGGTTGATGGGTACTGGCTCACAGAACCATTCCAGGTATGTGTGTCCGGGGGTTGGGCTGCATCTAGAGTAGAAACTCGGTCCGGGGCTTTGCGCAGTGGGAGGGCACTCTCTCCTGTCAGCCACATACGTTCTAGATAGAGTAGCCCGCAGATGGACATTACCTTCAGTACCACCAACCTATTATAATATCAAGTAACAAGGCAGGAGTCGGAGAAGTTACTGAGTCTGTTTTGGAAATGGTTGACAGGATTGGCTAGAACTGTAAATGTTTGTACTTTCGGATAAGTTCATGGTTCCTTGTCATCCTATGCCAGCTATCTTTGATAGAAGCTACAGCATTCAGTTTCTCTAGAAACTGAGTCACATTTTTGAATTTAGCAAATTTTACCTTGCCTAAAAAAAAATCTGCTTTAAAAATAAAACATGAAGCAGAAAACCTTTGGATTGTATTTGTTTAAAAAAATAAATTTGTTGTAAAATTGAACTTCTCAACTAAAAAGAATATTCATGTCAAAATTTGTTAGCAGGTAGTTGTGGCAAAGATGGCTAAATAATGAAACAAATTTGAATCTGTGTATACTAATGAGCTGCTTTTTCTGTTGAGACTATCATTATTTGTCTTACCCAGGAGGCAATTACCTGAATTGGACATCAGAAATATAACTTATGCAGGAATAGTTCTGTAAATACATTTAAATAAACTGTAAAGGTATTTAATAAATATAGTATTTATACTAATCTGTGTACTTGTTTTGGTTTCAGTAGTAACTAAGTAAGACACTGGCCCTTGACATTGAGTTTCTTGGTTTCTTTCAAGTCATTTCATTAACCTACCAGTGACTCTGCATTTCATAGCTATCATTTTCTGTCCTTTACTATTTTAACTGCCCTAGCTTTCACAACAGCCTCTTTACATCATTAGTTTCCTCAAAAATTCATCAAAATGGATTGATCATTAAGTGTGAAATACAGAGGTTTTCCAGCTGAGGCTTTATACCTTCCAAATAGCACAGAATGAAGCTACTAAAAACTTCGGTATATTTGAACTACAATCCAAAGTGCTTACAGTTGAACACTGTAACTATCTCTTACAGACCAGTGCTGCACCAGGCAACTGCTGAGGATGATGCCTTCACAGCTAAACCCCCTCCCTGTTTCCATGGATGGATGGAACACTTCGTCCTCAGCAAGGACACCTGAACTTAATCTTGCCATGTACATGTTCACTGCAGTCATCTGCCTTTGCTAGGAATATTAGAAAGTCAGTGTTAATCATCATTGTAAACTTAAGACACATATATCTTAGGCCTACAGTGTGAAAGAATGTAGTTGAAATTATGTAGGCATTGTTGGTTTCCACAAATAGCGCGGTAAAAGCCCATTTTCATTCACTTGAACATCTTGGGATGAACTTGAGTTTTTATTAGGTTATTGTGGGTAGTTATGACTCACTACTAAGCTACAAGAGCCAAATTCATCCTGGTTTCAGTTAGTTCACAGTTCAGGAGCATACTAATTCACACAGCCACCTTTTAAAGTTTCTTACACAATCTCAAGTACAGTTGCTTGCCAGATAACACCGCCTGTGGTTTGATGGCTACTCAAAGACTTAGCCATAAAAAAGCTCATTCGTTGCATTATAAACAGACTTAAGATGGAAGAAACACACCATAAGCTATTATGTAACTGGATTTGTGCCAGTTTTTTTGAGTTGTACAGGTAAGAAGCTAGTAAGTCTCAACAAAGAACAGAGACATTTGTCTTCCACCTCATTCCACTCCAAACCCAGGCTCTCTTAAGTAGAGGTTGGTGCTCTGTATCAGATAATAGGAAATATTTGGTCATTTCTGTTAAATTCTTTTCTGAATCACACTACAAAATAAAAAAAAAACTTACCTTGAAACCAGAAAAATTGGAGGCTAGGAAATAAAATTCTACAATAGAAGACCAAACTGAGTGTGGTGGCGCAGCCTGTAATTCCGCCATTCTGGGAGGCTGAGGCAGTAGCATCACAAATTCAAGCCCAGGATGGACAATTTAGTAACTTAGTAAGACTCTCAAAAAAAAAAAAACAAAACAGGCTGGGGATGTAGCTCGGTGCAAAAGCCCTGGGTTCAGTTGCCAGTACCAAAGAAAAGTCTAAAGTGATCTTTTTTATTTTTCCAGGGGTTACTTTATTTAAAAAATATTTTTTTAAAAAACCCAAAAAGTCATATTATACAAGAAAAGGTTGCATAAGTTTGCTGTTTCTGAAAGCTCCAAAATCCAAACGTTTGCAATCAAATACAGAAGATAACCTGACTACTAATGGTAAAATTATTTCAAGCCATTCTGCTCTGCAAATGGCTGCCAAAGGTTTCCTTTTATAATACTGGCAGAGAGCTGAAGACTCCAGGGTGAACATGCACAAACTGAAGAACTCAAGTAGGCTTTTTTCCTACACAGAAAACTTGTGCCTTCAAGTAACAATAATTTAAAATTTTATACACTTGACAAGCAGCTATTTCTAGATTGAGTCATGTACAAGACGATGTCGTTTAGACAAGTAGAGGCTCTTCATGTTAGGGAAGTCTGGGAAACTCTTACACACTAAGTGTGAAAATGTGTGCTTCAGGTGTAGGCGGGTCAGTCATCTTCACTGTCACTTGCCATGGCCAGACTGGCAAAAGGCTGGTTGAGGTGTTCTTGCTGGTCAGAAGAAACTGCTCCAAAGAACATGGAAGAAAACTAGAGGAGAGAAAATAACTGCACTGTTTATTCCCAAGTGGAGGTTTGCTCAGTAAAACTCCCATGTGACAGTCCTCTTTCAGAAACATGGCCAAAGTGATTCCCCTGGCTTTGCTGGTGATGGTTCATGTGACACCCGCAACCTTTGTGACTGGCCCAGCACATTCAAAACTAGACCCTTTGCTAGACCCTTTTCCGAGGCCGAAGACAGTTTGCGACAGTGATCTGTGACCGCTCCTGGAGCCACAGGAATGCCAGGGCTGAGAGGCAGTCGGGCAAGCTGAACGTCTCCCCTAAGTTCCCTTCCAGGCCAAAGCCCATTCCCTCTGCGTCAGCACTGAGCCCCTCCTGGCCGCTACTCTGCTCCACAGGAACATCAGCTTTTTCAAATGCTCACGTCTCTCATCTAGAATACAGAGCCTGGCCTCACCCGGCTCCTCTAGCTGCTGCCATCCCTGTGCCATGGAACTGTCTGCGTGTGCCATCTCTTCGCATTCTGGTCTGAAACTGCTCTTAACTGGACACCACATCCTGAACATCAGTGCCTGTTTTCAGTCTTCAACCTGCTTGACTCACTCTGAGCCTTCCCTCCTGTGCCATCCTCTGCCCCACTCTGGCCATCCAACTGCTCTGGATGCTCATCCTCTCCTACCCACCTCCACTCAGGGTACTCAACCTCAGCACTGCTGATTTCTGGAGTCTGACAAGCCCGTCTTGGGGACTGGGCTGCTGCGTGAGATGCCAGTAGTTGTAACTTCCAGGAGGCTCAGATACTGCTGAGGTCCGCTGGGGGGGACAGTCACCTCTGGTTGGGAACCATGGCTTCAGATGATGGCAGTCCTGACACTGAAATTACTTTAGCCCATGTATGCTGCTATTTAGTTAATTCCTGCCACCTGACATCCAAAACAGAACTCATGATCTTACAAGCCTTGAACCTGCTTATCCAAACTAAGTCAACTCCATACCTCCCTTCTTACCTCCTGGAACCTCCGTCACCAAATCTGGGAGTTTTGCGTGCTGTGTTAGCTGTTTCACTACTTCTCTTGACTGCTCATCTAAGGAGTCACCATCTCTCAGATGCTGCACTGGGAGACCGTTCTTGCCTCACTGCACCCTATTTTTTACACACCTAAAGGTACCTTGTAAATATCCAACTGTCAGCCTTCCTTATTAAAACGCTGCCAGTACCCTAAATACTAAGGTACCTTATATGGCTATTGACATGGCTTACAGTACTCTTCAGGCATGATTTCATTCTACCTCAGTTGCTCTAGTTTTTATGCCCTGTCTCCCCCTATCTGCTCTCCAGCCACCCTTCAGCTCCTTAAAACTACACTCCCTCCCACCATAGGCCCTTTGCATGTCCTCCAGCTCCTCCCTGCACACTCACTTTGTTATCCTTTCCAGCTCAGCTCAAACAGCAGTTTTAGAGGAAAACACTGACCTGGATCAGGTCATTTTGCACCATCTTCTCAAGGTACCCAGAACTTTTCTTTCATTGAATTTATCACAGCTTTTAAAAAAACTACCATATTTCTAGGTATGTGACTTTTATATCTGCACCCTAGTCCCTATGCCCTATTTTCCCTCTAGTCTTTAACCGAATCTGGGGACCCTACTTAGTTTGCTCCCCATAGCATCCCTTCCATGACTACCCAAGCCATGGCCCCTGGCAAACACCTGCGGGAGTCACGCAGTAGCATGTATGAGTAAACGAGGCAGCCCTGTTACTATGTCATCCTCACTACCAGAGGTGCAGCTCTAAGCTGGCAGTTCTGACAGCAGCTGCAGACCTCTGGACCCAGAGAGAAAACCCCAAGTTACCAGGGACAGCAATTGTGCCTGTGAAGACTTATGTCACACAGCAAGAGGAATTAAGGTAGTGGATAGAAAGCAGCTGGCGTGGACGAAACACGCAGGCCAGTGTGGTCACAAGGATCCTAGGATGTGGAAGTGCAGGAAAGAGAGAGCTGGAGGGAAGCAATGTGAACAGAATTACCTGCCCCAGAAGGTGGAAGGAAGGGCACCATGAGCCAAAGCTGCAAAAGGGAAGAAAACAGATCCCACCTGGGAGGAGCACAGTTCTTCCAACACCTTCATTTTAGCCCAGTCTTCAGACCTGTGGGATATTATATTTCCGTTGTCTCAAACCACAAAACAAACCACATGTGGTACCATATACCTGTAATCCTGTATACCTGTAATCCTGTATACCTGTAATCAGCACTTGAGAGGCTGAGGCAGGAGAAGCATGAGTTTGAGGCCAGCTGGGGCCATACAAGGAGACCCTACCTCAAAAAAAGTGCTATGTTGTAGGAGCAACAGGAAGCTAATACACTGGCTCTGAACATAGCCAGAGGCACAGTGTCAGTGCCTCTTGGTCTAATCTTACCAGAGGTCAAGTCTAAAGCTGGAGATGACTGGAAGAGCGCCTGTGTCTGCTGAATGAGTATCGTCATGTACACATTGTTCTGTGAGACCAGAAAGCTAAGGTTTACTCTGGTCCCTGAGAGCTGCTGAATTTGCTCTTGGCTTAGGCTGAGTGCCACTTGCTACTCCCTTGTTCCCATCCTTTCTGTGGCCTGTATCTTGAGTGGCTCATAATGGAGTCCTTCTCCATGTCTAACAACCTTATAGTGGAGAAAACTTGACAGTGTCCAGGAAACTGGGAATGGCCTCAAGTCAAATATGAATTGGGCAAGAAGACAAATTATCATAAAATACTTTTTGGTACCGGGGATTGAACATGGATCCTTGTGCTTGCAAGGCAGGCATTGGAACCACTGAGCTAAATCCCCGGCCTATAGAATACTTTTATAATAATACACATTTTTCCTAATGTTAAGTGATTCTGGGGGCTTTGTATAACTTCTTGGTTTTGTTGGAGCTCCAGTGGCGCAACTGGTTAGTGCGCGGTACTTATATAACTTCTTGGTTAAACCTAATTAAAAGTACAGCAGAAGAAACCACTGGGCCATTGTTATGGCTTGGGTCTGGATGTCCCCCCAAAGCCTCATTTGCTCAGAGGTGGCTGAATCTGGAATGTGTGGATTAAGGGCGAATGATTACTAAACCACTACACGTGAGTGAGTGGTTTGGCACTGCCCTAATTCCTGTAGTCTGAGTAAGATAAAAGAGGCAGAGAGACACTGTTAAACTTCCTCTTGCTACTTTTGCTGCTTTGTGCACACCACGTTGTTTCTCTGGGACGCCTGTCTGCCATCCACCCTACTTTGGAACCAGCCGATTATGGACTGAAACCTCTACGAACTGTAAGCCAAATAAACCTCTTCCCCTTTAACTTTGGGTGTCGGGTATTTTGTCTCAGCAACAAGAGACAAGTAACTAACACAGCAGTTATTTTGAATATAGTAATACTCTGTCATGGTTTAACTTTTGAAAACCGCCTTCCTTAAAGTAGCACGATTTTGGAATTGGATGTTTTTAAATCCTTTTCTTAGGAACCAGACAGAGTGCCACCTGCCTGTAATCTCAGCTACTCAAGAGGCTGAGGCAAGACAAGTGCAAGTTAGATGCCAGCCTGGGCAACTTAGCAAGACTCTGTCTCAAAATAAGAAATAAAAAGGGCTGGAATGTAGCTCAGTGGCAGAGCACTTGCCTAGCATGTGTGAAGTCCTGCATTTAGTACCAAAAAGATTTTTTTTCTTAAGATATCCCAAACCAGGGCCAGGGATTTAGCTCAGTGGTACCATGCCTGCCTCACAAGCACAAGGTCCTGAGTAGGATCCCTGGTACTGAAAAAAAAAAATCCCAAAGCAAGGTTGAAGGTATGTATACTACTGGCTATCCACCAGGAGGACAGAATGAGTAAGACTAAGACCTCTGCTCGATGAACTCACAATCTATCTTGTGGAGTAGCAAGTATGTATGATGTTAGGTTATTACATGACAGTTATAACAAACAGGATGAATGAAATGCTGTGAGTGGAATGAGAAGGGCTCCGAAAGAGGAAGGTTTAGGGTAGGCCTTGAAGGGTGGATAGAAGTTTAAGAGTGGAGAAGGGCGGAAGACCAGCACCCAGGCCATAAGGAAGAACGGCACAAGCGAGAACAGATGTGTGCGGCCACCTTTCCACCTGAAAGCAGGAGTGAACCAAACACACACACATGCTTCCCGCCGCAGCAGTGTTGCCTGCGAGCTTGTTAGCTAATGCAACCGGACAGAAGAGATGGGCTAGAGACGTTAATAAAACCATCTTTGTGTAAACATTGTAGTTAGTAGGCCTGACAGAATCAAAGATAAAATAATGGAAACAATAAAACAATTCAGGAGATAATAACTCAGTAAGGTAGCGGTGTAGAAAATTAACATGCAATAAATAAATGAAACCATGCTGGAAAAAGAAAAGGGTGGTGGAAAGAACAGGAAAAAAAGAATTGAAATGTGTTATGTACATCTACCAATTCCCTACAGTGAATGTACCGTCACTATATACTGCAAACATGTGCTAATAAAAGTTTAAAAAAATGAACATGCAAAAAACAGTAGCTCTGTAGACACAAAAGAGGCAGCCAAAATATAACGGTAGAGAAAACTACTTCTACAATAGCAACCGAAATTAATTACATTGGAGTATAGTAATAATTAGTAATAATTCATATAGTAATAATTATTACATAAATAAGACTGATGTGCTGCCTGCTACACTAAGAAGGTGCCAACTCCTAAGAACTTTAAAACACTCCTGGAAAACAACAAAAATAGACTTGAACCAACCAAAAGACATCACCTGTTTTGAGATAAACGACAACACAAAAATGTCAGTTTTGCCAGGTGTGATGGTGCACGCCTGAAGTCCCAGCACTCAGGAGGCTGAGACAGGAGGACTGCTTGAAGTTCAAGGCCAAACTGGGCTACGCAGTGAGTTCAAGGCCAGCCTTAACTGCATAGTGAGACCCAGTCTCAAAAAAAGGTCAGTTTTCCCTAAATTAACAGAAATTTAAGGAAATCTCAATTTAAAAATTACTGAAAGAATGTTTTCATGGAGCTTGATAAATTGATATTAAAGTTTAAATTAAAAATAGAGGAGAATGAGGGGAAGGGGAAAGGAAAGAAGGGAAAGGAAAAATTATGAGAAAAGAAAAAAAATGGAAACAAAATCTATGTAAATAGCGAAGGGTGGAGGGGGTGAAGGGTGCACAGGTAATGGGGAAAAAAATAAGAACCAAGATACATCATGTACAGGTACAAGGACCCAATGATAAATGTAAACATATTGTATACCTAAAATGTACCAATAAAAGAATTTTTTAAAAAACAGACAAGAATGGGGCCAGGGATTTAGCTCAGTGGTGCCACTGCCTGCCTCAAAAGTACAAGGTCCTGAGTTCAATCCCTGGTGCAAAAAAAAAAAAAAAGACAAGAATGGCCAGGAAAAAACCTGACAAAGTCCATAAAGGGATGGACACTAATTCTACTAGACACAGAAACATACTCAGAATCCACCTAATGAAGTGTGGCCCTGATACATGCAGAAAACAACAGGTTAGCAGAACAAAAAGTTCAGAGACAGAAGTCCAGAGTAGGAAAGAAATTTAATATATGACAAAGGGGACAGAGCAGATGACTAGGGCAAAGGTATGCTTTATAGGTGGATATGAGTTGGCTCCATAGCCATTTTGAAAAAAAATAAAATTATATTTATACTTTACACCAGGAACATGGTTCTGCATGTAAATATAAAAAGATGAAATCAGCTGGGCATGGTGGCACACACCTGTTCATTTCAACTACCTGCATGAGGCAGAGACAGGAGGATCACAAGTTCAAGCCAAACCCAGGCAATTTAGCAAGTTCTTGTCTCAAAATTAAAAAAAAAAAAAATGTCTGAGGATGCACTTCAGAGCTAGAGCCCTGCATCCCCAAGATCCCAGGTTCAGGCTGGGGATTTAGCTCAGTGGTTCCGGCACCTGCCGTGTAAGTCCAAGGTCCCAAGTTTGATCCCCAGTACCAAAAAAAAAAAAGATCCTAGGTTCAACCCCAGTACCATAAATAAGTAAATTTAAAAAAAATTTTTTTGAGCCTGGGTCTCACTTTGTAGTTCAGGCTGGCCCTAAAGTCACTAGGTATCCCAGGCAGGCCTTGAACTCACAGTGATCTTCCTCAGCCTCCCAAATCTACAGGCATGGCCACCATGCCCAGCATAAATTTTAAAACACATAGACATTCCAGAAGAAAATGGGTGAATTCTTTAACTCTTATATACAGAAAAGCTTTTTAATAACTGATTCAAGGGCTGGGGATTTAGCTCAGTGGTTCTGGTGCTTGCCTCGAAAGCGTAAGGTCCCGAGTTCAATCCCCAGCACCCCCCAAAAAAGTAAATAAATAACTGATTCAAACTCCTTTGACTTTTTTGTTTTGGGGAGCTTTTGTTTTGGGGAGCTTTTGTTTTTGTTTTTTGAGACAGGGTCTCATTATGTAGTCCTGGCTGGCCTGGAACTTGTGATTCTCAACCTCCCAAGTGCTGGAATTACAGGCTTGTGTCACCATACCATGCCTGGCTCAATTTTAAATTTAAGTTTGACTACATAAAATGAAAAAATCTTCCCCAGTAAACCTTAAAATACAGCTAACAAAGTAGGAAAAATGTGTGCACCATAAATCAAAAGATAAATGACTAATCACCTATAAATATATACAGAAAATTCGGAAGAGATGTGAATAAACAATTCACAAAAATTATAGAATGGGGTTTAAACACATAAAAAAGATCCTCAACCTCACAATTTAGAGAAATGCAAATAAAGCCACACTGAAACACTACTATTTCTCAAATACCAGTTTGGAAAAACCTTTGCTGAAGTTCAACTCTGTGCTCCTCTACTGCTGCAGGGTAGCTGGGATTAAGGCATGTGCTACAATGCCCAGTGGAAGTACGAAATTATTTAAAATAAAAAGTTACACAAAAAATTAAACAAATAGAGTGGCTGCATTATGGTAAAGTTCCTGGCATTGCACTGGCAATGGCTTCAGTCAGGCTCACGGGCGTGGGCTGCAGGGCACGGGCAGACCCTGGTCCTTGAGGTTGTGCTTTGCAGCCATTCTCCCCGTAGTTTACCCACGAAAACCACTGGTGTGGTTCCTTGAGAGGAAACCCATCTGCCATTCCTGACACAGGGTGTGTTTTGATGAGTCAGGCAGGTAGACGAGATTAAATACCCCAGGGAAAATCTATGCCCTGAGGAGTTCCGGCTCAGACTCAGGAGAACCAGAAGGAGCTAAGAATTCTGAAAGCAGTAGAGTAATGTAGAACAATAACATTTATGGAGCACTAACCAGGTGTCAGTAATATTAACTTGATTAATTTTCATAAGTCTACTATTAAGGAAAACTGAGGCAAATATCAGTAACTTATCCAGCTACACAGCTAGGAAGTGACAAGAGAGAAGGTGGAATCGAGGAATGCCAATTCTGGAGACGGTGCTCTGCAGGCCCCGCTCTCCTTGTCCCCCTGAAGAAGCTGGCAGGAGGAGCAGGAAAGATGAAGGCCCACAGTGGTCCACGGGGACAAAGCAAGGGTGGCCAACACCCTCCAGGATGGAAGTTCAGCTTTGCCACAGTGAGGCAAATAATTTCCTTCAAAAATAGAGCCTTTTTAGAATTTAACAATATGATAGAACATTTGGAGTGAAGAGATCTGCAATGGTGATCGTGGAGCTTACAATTCAAATTATTGCTTTTCCTAGTGAGAAAATGAGCAACCTTAGTGAATTTCAGGGACCTGAAACAGCAGGGAAAAGATTTCTTCTTGTTGCTTGTGAAAAAGCAAGCACACTGTGTTTGACCCAAGACTTATCTATGTGACCTTAGCACACTAGATGTATTCAGAGACAGTCCTAATTTAACGTCATAATTCATTCTGGAGACAAGTGATCGAAATCTCTACATTTTGCAGTGATATTCTACAAATCACACTTCTCTCCATCTGAGACTAGCCTTAGCCCTGCCCTTTCAAAAATTCAGATAGGGGCTGGGGTGCAGCTCAGTGACAGAGCATGTGCTTAGCATGCATAAGCCCTAGGACCAACACTCAGCACCAACAAAAAAGCAAGAAAAAATTACTTTTCAGGAGATTGGCGGTGGGTTAGGGCCAGAGGATGGCAAAGGAGGCTGGTGACAGAATTCTAACAGAGATGCAATCACATCTCAACATTTTTCTCTTACCTTCCTGCGGGAAAAAGAGTTCGGCTCCTCTTCAGTGTCTCCGACACTGCTTCTGGGCACCTCATGAATATTGTCCAGGTTGGCCTTTTTCAGCTGGGGGCTGCCATGGTCTTCCGCTGCTGAGTTCTTCACGGGAGTCCCCTGAGGACAAAGCCTTTTGGGTGTTGTTTTTCTTGAGATACACTCTGGGGGCTTGTGCATTCCCCTTTGGCCAGCCTTTGAATTCAACTGTCGCCAATCTGACCTGAAGTATTAACAGGGATAAATGCACCAGCTGTTTACTTTGAAATGTATTTTTTTTATATATAACAGAACAACATAGGATGACAATGATAAGAATAATGATGTAGGGAATGTACTGAAATAACACCAAATGAATCGCTGAAAGTTCAGTTTTATGTATATGATCATTTAAATATTCCCTTGGCAGATTCAGATCTTTCAGTAAAGTAACTCAGTACACATGTAATATGGGAACAGGATCAAGTGAGAAAAAAAGCTAAACAAATCACTAGACATCCGTATGATAACATTTTATGAGGTCATGAAAACTCACGTCTTTAAGTCAAAATCAGTGATACTGGAATAGGCCCACAATATATTTTATGGGGAAAACCAGGATACAAAGTGACATGGGATCCCAATCTTGGCTTTTTAAATTTTTTTTTTTTGTGATACTGAAGACGGAACCCAGAGTGTTAGGCATGCTGGGCAAGCACTCTACTACTGAGCTTTAACCACAGACTTTTTACTTTATTTTATTTTCAGACAGGGTCTCAGTAAGTTGCCCAAGGCCTCAATCCTCCTGCCTCAGCCTCTAGAATAGCTGGAATTATGGGGATGCACCACCATGCCCAGCTCCAATCTTGTTTTCAAATATAAGTGTATGCGAAATAAAAAAAATCTAAAAGAAATACAGTGAGCTAAAATGTTAATAGCAGCTATCTCTGGGTGATGCAATTATGGATGGGTTTTATTTTCTTCTTTGTACTTTTCTGTATTTTCCAAATTTCCTATAGTAACTTTGTGTTACTTTATAAAAAAACATACTTTCCCAAAAAAATTATTAAGAAAAAAGAAACCAAGAAAACCAATGGCTGTCCTATATCTGAGGAGTTCTAGTAACGAACACAAATTTTCCTGTGAAACTTAACACTCTATCACTTCTAAAAAACAACTGAAAAGTGAAAATGAGTTTTGAGTTATAACAAAGATAAACCAGATAGTCCTGTTAAATTCTAACTTTTTCTTTTTTTTGGTAGCAGGGATCAAACTCGGGTCCTCAGCTTGCGAGGCAGGCGCCAGAACCACTGAGCTAAATCCCCAGCCCTGTCCTGTTAAATTCTGGTTAGAAGAGAAAAAGCAAATATCTGATACAAGACTAGTAAAATTTTTAGGTTACAGTTTGGTCTCCACAGCTCTTTCAGATTCAGTCAATATTTCTGATATAATGTTTTATTCCTAAGCTAGTTCCTAAAGCTACTGGAATGTTTCACAATGAAGCGGCAGTGACTTTCCCAACCAATAACAAAGTTAAAACATAGCCTTACCTTTTTCCTGCTTGCGAAAGACACAGTGATTGAGGGGAACATGACCTGCTTGAGTTACCAGCTAAAGTAGCCAAAATGAAGTTAGCTTCCAGTAGCATATCAACAATACTCAGAGCCACAGGTCTAAGAAGGCAAAGTCAGAGCAAAAGTGACACTCGTTTTCCAATGGACACTAGGGCCACATTAGAAAATGATACTTAACTCTGGAGTAAAAAGGAACAGTACTAGTAGATGTCTTCTTTGTGTTGTCTTAAATTAACACAATCTTAAGAGCTAAAAGGCCCTTTAGAAATCATCAGATCCAATCTAAAATTTTAGTTCTAGAACATATAAAGTATCATAGTTTTATAGAGACTTAACTTGCTTAACCCATTTATAATTTTCTAATTAGGTAGTTTATTCAGCAGCATATCAAACTTATAAATGTTTCATTCTGTTGAAGAATGCATCTTTCTCAATCAAGTTACCAATTTAAAAAGTCATGTTACATGGGCCGGGGATTTAGCTCAGTGGTTCCGCCGCTTGCCTTGCAAGTGCAAGGACCCAAGTTCGATCCCCGGTACCAAAAAAAAAGTCATGTTACAGCATCTTTTCAAAATTTTAGTCTGATAAATGTTGCTAGTAAAGTTAAGGAATTCCTGAGATGTGTGAATTTCACACACAGAGTTTTATTATCTATAACAAACAAAAAGAAACTCAGAACAGTTGCCATGGACCTACTTCCCAGGAAAATCAAAATGAATGGACATAGGAACATGTACAGCTTCTGAAAATATCAGCATTCCCTAAAGGAAGAAAAGGAAAAAATAACTTAAAGTCTTTATTAAAAACTACTGGTGAAAATTTGAATTTGAATTTGACATCACTATGTGTTTACCTTCAATTCTTTACAGCAAAATGTTATTTCAGTATCCAAACCAACCTGAAAGAAGTCAAACTCATCTGGGCCAACAAGCATCTCACTATACACAGAATTGGTCAAATCTGCTAAATGTTATAGGAAAATAAAAAAAAGTTACTCCCAGAGGTATTTTAAAATTTTTAATCCAAAAATATAATCATAAGTAAGAGGTTAAAATATCACAAGTTCTCTCAGAGTCCTTCACGGAGAGCCAGGATCTGGGTCTGTTCCCTCCTGTGGAATCTGGGTGGGCTTTGTGACTGTTCTGGCTGATAGGGTGTGCCAAAGTGACCTCAGCCAGTTTTTGAGCCCAGACATGAAGAAACTGGCAGTCTCCACTTCCTGTCACCTCCAACACTCCCTCTTGTAACTCGGCACCATGCCATAGGAGGTCCAGGGCACATGGAGAAGCCACCTGTGGGCTGGCACTGGGGGTGACAGCTCAGCTGAGCTCCCTGCAACAACTGTGAGCCACGTGTGGGTGCCAACGTCGCCTCTCAGGTGATTCCTGCCTTCCACTAACCACAGCTGTGTGAAGGACTCCACGTGAGACTGCCTGGCTAAGTCCCCTCAGCCCCAGAGAGAAGCCAGAGAGACGATAAATTACTGTCCTAAGCTGCTATATCTTGGGGTGGCTTGTTATAAGCAATTAATAACCAGAATATCAAAAAGCCTAGTTTGTTCTAAAGGGAACTACTATAAATACAGTTTACATGTAACAAGGATATTATATTTTATTATATTCAATTTTGTTTCAAAAGAAACTTCAAAAATTAACCCCCACCCAAAATTAACAAAAAATAGAGTAAGAGATAATAGGATCTATTAAACTAAATTGTAAAACATGGTTTAAAAGTGAATTTAAAAATTTTTTAATTGCCGGGGATTTAGCTCAGTGCTTCCACCGCCTGCCTCACAAGCGCAAGGTCCTGAGTTTGATCTCCAGTACCAAAAAAAAAAAATTTTAAATTGAGATAATAATTCATTTACTACAACATTCATCATTTTAAACATACAATTATGTGGTTTTTACTATATTCACAAGAAGGTGTAACCATCATCGCTATCTACTGACTATTTTTGTCACCTCAGAAATAAACCTTACACCTATCAGCAGTTGGGTTTATTCCCCTGGCCCTTCTGCTCCCACAGCCAGCAGTCACTCTTCTACTTTCTGCACAACTGACTGAGATATCCTGGGTATTTCCCATGTGTGAAACCATTCAATATGTGGCCTTCCGGTTCTGGATTCTTTTCCTCAGCACAGTATTTTTCACATGCATCCACACTGCTGCATACATCGGTATTTACTCTTTTTTTTTTTTTTTTGGTGCTGGGGATTCAACTTGGGACCTTGCGCTTGCAAGGCAGGAGGCAGAACCACTGAGCTAAATCCCCAGCCCTGGTACTTACTCTATTATGGCTGAGTATTATCCCACTGTGTAAAGAGAGCACATTTTGTTTGTTTGTCCGTTCATGAGCTGATGACATCTGACTTTCCATTCTTAGGCTGCTATGTGGTGGTGCTATGAATACTCATGTGGACTGTGAGGTATAAGACACTTATTAAAGATGGCAGAGGAACAAGACAGAAAAAGCCTGATGCTTTGACAAGCATGGAATAACCATACTCACCACTATTATTTGGTTTTGTGTTTTCTGGCATAGATGAAAATAATCCTTAAAAGTACATTTTACAATTTGTAATATTCTGTTTTCTCAAACAGGTAAGCTTCATATCTCATGCCTTCTTTTTGTTTGTTTGCTTGTTTGTTTGAAACAGGGTCTTGCTGGCTGGCCTTGAACTCCCAGCAATCTTCCTGCCACAGCTTTTTTTTTTTTTTTGGTACCAGGGATCGAACTTGGGACCTTGTGCTTGCAAGGCAGGCAGCAGAACCACTGAGGTAAATCCCCGGCCCCTGCCTCAGCCTCTTAAGTGCTGGGATTACAGGCATGCACCGCCATGCCTGGTATTATCTTTACTGCCTTATATTCAATAAGAGATTATTGAACTTGGATTTATTATCATAGGAAACCCTGATGTTTAAAACTTTACAAGTACATTCCAAGATAATCAAAGATACAGATGCTATGCCCTTTATTACATATACATTTATTAATTTATTTTACTGGGGATTTAACCCAGGGCCTTCACACTGAGCTATATATCCCTAGCCCATTTTTTATTTTGAGACAGAGTCTTGCTAAATTGATAACTTGTCCAGGCTAACCTTGAACTTGCCATCCTCAGCCTCCCATAGTGCTGGGACTATAGGTTTGAACCACCATGCCCAGCTACACAATCACTTATGATTAAAAAAGTGAATGATGCACCAGAAGTATAATCAACAAAAGAAAAATGGATAAGCTAGGCTCCAGCAGAATTTTTAAATCTGTGTTTCAAAGAATGCTATGAAGAAAATAAAAAGAGCTGGACGTGGTGCTACGTACCTGTAATCCCAGCACTCAAGAGGTTGAGACAGGAGGACTGCCATGAGTTCTAGGCTAGCCTGGGGTACATAGTGAGTTCAAGGCCAGGCTGAACTACATAGCGAGATCCTGTCTCAAGATTAAACAAAATTAAAAAAAATTAAACTAAAGAAAACCAGAAAAAGAAAGAAAAGAAAAGAAAAAGAGCTGGAGCACTCGGGAGGCTGAGGTAGGAGATCGCCATGAGTTTGAGGCCAGCCTGGGCTCCATAGTGAGTTCAAGGCCAGCCTGGACTATATAGTGAGACCCTATCTCAAAAAAAAAAAGAGCTGGGAGTAATGGTGCAATGCCTGTAATCCCAGCTACTCAGGAGGCTGAGGCAAGACGATTCCAAGTTCAGGGCTGCCTGTGGAACTGGATGAAATCTTTCTAAAGTAGACATTTTTAAAGGGGCTGGACATATAGCTTAGTGGTACAGCGCTTGCCTAGCATCTGTGAGGCCCTATGGTCAATTCTCAGTACCATGAAAAAAGGAAGAAGAAGGAAGAAAAAGAAAAAGAAAAAAAGAAGGAAAAAAAGAAAAGGAAGGAAGAAAACAAAGAACCCATGGGATTGGAGGAAATATTTGCAAATCATATATATAAAAAATAATCAAAAGACAACCCAAGTGAAAAAAGGAAAGGGGATTTGAATAGACATTTCTCCAGAGAAGACATGAAATAACCAATAAGCACATGCAAAGATGCTCAGTATCATTAGTCCTTAGGAAAATGCAAATGAACCCACAATGAGACACTACTTCACTCCCTCTAGGCTGGCTATAAGCCAGAGGCAGACAATAGCAAGTACTGTGAAGGACAGAGAATCGGAACCCTCAATCACTGCTGGTGGGATGTGAAAGGATACACTCAGAGCTGGGCGTGATGGCACACACTTATAACCACAGCTACTCCAGAGGATGAGGCAGGAAGATCAAAAGTTCAAGCCAGCCTGAGCAACTCGGTGTGACCCTGTCTTAAAATATGAAAAGGGCTGTGGATATAGCTCAGTGGCAGAATGCCTGTCTAGCATGTGCAAACTCCTGGCTTCAGTCCCTCATACTGAAAAACAAAAAACAGTGCACCCATCGTTGGAAAACAGGCTGGCAGGTTTTCAAAATGCTAAACACAGTGTTACTCCAGGACTTAGCAATTTCACTCCTAAGTATATGCCCAAGATAAATGAAAACATATGTCCACAAAAACACTTGTACATAAATGTTCACAGCAGCATTACTACTAAGAACACAAAAGTGAGTCAAAATGCCTATCAAATGGTGACTGGGTAAATAAAATGTGGCATATCCATTCAAAGGATATTATTCAGCAATAAAAAGAAATAAAGTATATACTGATAAACACTACAACACAGAACAACATTGAAAACCTTGTCCTAAGTGAAAGAAGGCAAATGCAAAAGGCCACATGTTGTATGATTCCATATATGCGAAATGCCCCAGAACAGATAAGCCATAGAGACAGAAAGTGGACTAGTGGCCACCTAGGGCTGGGGTTGGGAGGAAATGGGAGTGACTGCTAATGAATACGAGGTTTCTTTTGGGGGGTGGTGCTTAAATATTCTAAAATATTCTAAAGTAGATGATGTTTGCATAAGTCTAAATATACTAAAAAATGAACTGGATACTTTAAATAGATCAATAGTATAGTATGTGAGTTATAGCTCAATAAAGTAGCTTTTAAAAACAGAACGAATTTGAAAGAAAAAAAAATTTTTGTCTCCCAAACCCATCCCATTTCCTCCTACCTCACTCTTCCCTTCCCTACAATATCTGTATACAATTTAAAAGTACCTTTGTTCAAAGGAGAAATTCAGTATGATTTTTTTCACCTTCCTTTTGAACTCTGTAACAACTTAGAGCCTGCTTTAAGTTTGTTTCACATAAATCAAACTGTATATATTAAATACCAGAGTTCTTACCTAAATTGGTCTGAGATGAATACAATTTCTAATGGGAAAGATATAAAAGTACAATTTTGATTCACATATATTCTTTGTTTTCTTTTTCATTCATATCTTTAGTAACTTAAATATCATTCATTTATGTCTTTAATAACTTAAATAACTACATGTCAAAATAACTTTAACATAATCTTGTAACACCAGGATTGTGAATGACAATTGTATCTACTGGTAGGGGCTATTTTGGAAATCAAACTTTATTTTCAAACCCTTCACCTAAGCAAATTTCTACTTTAAAAGTCCTGTTCTCCAGCTAGTAGTGTAGCTCCATGGTACAGCAGCTGCTTAGTATGCACAAGGCCCTGGGTTCAATCTATGTACAGCAAAACAACAAAAGGTCCCATTCTCACACCTGTGTCTGTTTGAGCTGGTCATTAATCAGTCATCAATATTTCCCTATACAATGGTCAGATTTACATTAAATTTATTGTTTATTCCAATGTATTTATTCTTCATTGCTATTGTAAATAGGTTTCCTACTACTATGTCCTTTGAGTACTGTTCATGTACATGAAAACTATTTGATTTTTTTCATGTTTGTGTTATATCCTGCTACCTCTGGATTATTTTACTGTTTGAGTTTGATCACTGATTTGTTAGGGTTTTCCAGGTGTACTACTGTATTATTTGCAGATACAAATGACGGTGCTACTTTTTCTTTAGTGACTGACTTATCAAATTGCATCAATTAATAAGTAATATATTACTAAACAGAAATGGAGATAGATAAGGCATTCTTATGTTATAATTTAGTTTTATAGTGTCCCCAAAAGTCTCATGTGTTTTGAAGGTGATTAGACTGTGGGGACACTATACTCATCAGCAGATTTAACCATTGAGGAGTCCATGGCTGAATGTGCCGTTAGGAGGTGAGGCCTGGTTGGAGGTGAGTCACTGGAAGGGGTGGGTATTCTCATCCCCAACTCCTCTCTTCGCTCTCTGCTTCCTGGCTGGCATGGATTGAGCACCCTTTCCTCTGCTAGGCCCCTCTGCCACCCTGTTTCTGTCTTGGAGCCAATTGACTATGGACTGAAACTATGAACCAAAATAAACCTCCCTTCCTTTAAGTTGTGGGTGTTGAGTATTTTGTCCCAGCAGGGACATCATATTTTGTTTTTCACCTTACCAGAAATGATACTAATGTGCTCCTATTAAGTAAGATGTAGGCTTTAGGTATTTGTAAAATACATAGATTTCACTGTGTCAGGAAAGTGTCCCTCTTCCTATATACTTCAGTGATTTATATCAAGAACAAGTGGGGCTGGGGATTTAGCTCAGTGGCACTGTGCGTGCCTCACAAGTGCAAGGTCCTGAGTTTGATCCCCGGTACCAAAAAAAAAAAAAAAAAGAACAGGTATTATGCTCTTTATAAGTCTTTTTAAAAGAAACTATGGAGGTAACCATATACATTTTTTCTTAGAACAGTTAATACAGTATTTTATGTTCATAAATTTTTCTAATATTGAGCCAATCTTGCATTTTCAAATAAATACTACTTGGTCATGGCTTTTGGTTTCCTTAATGAGCTGTTGAATTTTATTTCCTAATATATAATTCTACTTTTATAAAGTATACATTTTAAATGAAAATATGACCATACTGTATATACCATTTATAATATAACAAATAATATATCCCAAATATTTTTCTATGTCAATAAGTAAATTTTTAATAATTATTTATGTATGTAGCTTTTTCTTTTTAGTTTTTCAATACAAAACTACTCCAATAAATATCCATAATGTATCCCCATAGAGAGAGAGGAATGTATTTACACATACACACATAAGATTTCCCTCACTCAACCAATCTCTTGCTGTTTGATCTGAAATACAGAAGAAGATACACCAAATTACTAATCTTATCTCTAGGTACGGAATTTCAGGTGAACTTTTCATTTAAGCTTTTAAAAATATTCCTCATTTCCTTCCATGCACATGAATTATACACAGAGTAAGGACAAAAGTTAAGTGATTTGTATTTTTCAATTGTCCCAATAATACCTTAAGTATATATTCATTTCAAGCAAGACAGCTCGCATCACGCCCACTGTGCCAGCATTGAGGAAATTCTATAATAAGATAAAACAGTTGGGTCCCCAGGCAACATAACTATAACTATTTGTTAGACAGCTACTCACAAGAGACAGTGTTTACTGGTTACTAAATGAACATCTTTATTCAGAGGTGACATGATGAAACAGAAAACAGACCCTTTCCCTAGCTGAGCATGTATTTTCCAGATCATACACTGCTGCGTGCCAAGAAAGAACCCTGCATGAGACTCGAGGAAAGCAATAAAAACACAGCTTTAGAAGCTTGCACCTGGGAGCCCAGCTATCTGTATTCAGACCCTATTATGGACTGTGTGACACCAGGCAGGTCACACAGTTTCTCCATGCTTCAGCTTCTTCACAAGTCAACAACGGTACCTACACCACAGGGTTGTTACAAAGATCAAGTGAATTCATAAGGTAATTCATAATGTAATTCATAACGTAAATTATTTAAACTAGATCTTGGCATATACTAAACACTACAGAAATCACCTGACCCAGTGTAAGTCTTGATTCCACTGGCTTTTCACTTTAAAATCATAAAGTCTATTCCTTTACATCCTCTCTTTACTGCTAACTACTAGCACCAAAGACAAATTAGCCAAAGGCAAAATGTTTTAAACAGCTTGTTGTACCAAAAAGACCAAGTTTGTTTTGTTTTGTGGCACTGGGAATCAAACTCAAGATATATGCACTGAGCTGTCCTCAGCCCTTTTTAAATATTTTTAAAATAAAAAAAATTTAAAAAATATTTTAAAAATTTAAAAATTTAAATTTTAAAATATTTTTGAGACAGGCTCTTGCTAAGTTGCTAAATCATGCAGACTGTGCTTGAACTTAGAACCTCCTGCCTCAGCTTCCCAGGGTGCTGAGATTACAGGCATGCCCCACCACATTGGGCTCCTAACAAGTTTTTCTGATATTGAAACTCAGTTCCAAGTAGGGCATGGTGGCGTGTACCTGTAGTTCCAGCAGGGAGACCGGTGGAGCCTATGAGTTTTGAGATCAACCTGGACAAATAGCAAGACTCTGTCTCAAAAAAACAAGAAAAAACTCTATTGCAACTACATAACTCTTGAAAGAGCTGACTTAAGGAGTATCACATTTTTACCCTATGTATTTGCCATCTGGAATATTTTACATTCTAATTCAAAGTTACTTTTTCTTCCTGTGTAGTCAAAGATCATCTCAATTAGATTGCTGGCCTCTTAGTTTTTCCCTATGCAAAACAGAAAGGATGGTAAGTGAGAAACAGATCTTAAAAATTAAAATGAAAATATACTTTTCTCAGTAAAAATTCTCTTAACTTTAAGATAACCTGAATTTCAAAGCCAAATATTTTAATTACTAGTTCTGTTAAATTTCTTGAATCTCTTACTGGATAATATAATAATAAAAAAATTATTATCTTTCCATACATTACTGTTTTGTTACTCTTTTTGGGACTGAACTCGGGTCCTTGCTGCTTGCGAGACAGGTGGTGAAACCACTGAGCTAAATCCCCAGCCCCCACATTACTGTTTTTAAAACAGGAATAAATATTATGTTATTAACATGTACTATGTAGCTAGTAATGAAGACATGCTGGAAGCATACTCCATCAAATCTCCACAACAGATATCCTTACCCGCCAATTCCCCATGAGCACTCTTGAGGCATAAATTCAGGGGAGAAACAGCAAGAGTAACATCCTCATTTGATGAAAAAAGAACCATTGCCTCAGCCAGCAATCTATAAAATATAATGAAAAGTCTTGACAACATTTGAAAGACAAATAGAAAGGCATAACTTTCTTAAGAGGGTTTCAAATCTTTAATCTGGAAATGAACAGGCTAGTTCGCCTGGGATTAGAAAAGTTTACCCAAAAGGCCTATCTTCCTTCTGAGATACAAACTGCTATATTTCTAGTATATCTTTAAATTGTAATTTCATTTGAAGGCCAAGAGAATAGCAAAATACAACCTCAGTAAAACATGTGAAAGCTGCAGTCTAAACAACACAACAGAATCAAAAATCTATCTTTAATTCTAAGTTTATACATGTCCCATATATATTTTTTAAATTGGCCCAAGATGATACTGTAAAGGAAGACAGTGGAAAATCGAATTGTTTAAATATGGCTGAGATGAACTATGCTGGAGACCCATTTGAGGGGTAGAGGTTTACAGAGAGTCTGCTGCCTATATTTCTTTTCCTTTTGTTACTTTCCTAGACTATATATCACCTATTACTTTTAAGATTCTCTGGACATCCCAAATGCCATTTATTCCTGGGGTTCCTCTTTTTTTCTTTCCTTTTTTGATGGGATCTATGTAGTTGAGCTTGACCTTGAACTCACTGTGTAGCCCAGCTTGGCCTTGAACTCGTGCCCAATCTCCTGCCTCAGTCCCTCCCTTCCCTCAGTGCTGGTGTCACAGGCATGTGCCACCACCCCTGGCTGGGCTTCCTTTAAAAACAGTTTTATGTGAGGTGTAACTCATATAACACACAATTCATAGATTTGAAGTTGTTTGATTTGCATTTCCCTCACGACCAGTGATGTTGAGCAACTTTCCATGTGCTTACTGACAATTTGTATATCTTCTTTGGGGAAATATCTATTAAAATCCTTTGCCCATTTTTAGTTATTTGTTTTTTTAAAAAAAGTTGCATTATAGGGCTGGGTATTTAGCTCAGTGGTTGCGCCGCCTGCCTCGCAAGCTCAAGGACCGGAGTTCGGTCCCCCATACCAAAAAAAAAAAAAAAAAGTTGCATTATAAGTACTGTCATTGTTTTGAAATTGAGGTGTTGCTAGATAAAAATGAAATTTTAGAATTAATGCAATCTTGGTGTTAACATGATGCTAGACATTAGCTTAACAGTGTTTATTGATGTCAAAATGTCATGAACACCTAGCAAATTCAGAAAGGAACTTGTGTATTGCTAAGGGGAAGGTGTTATACAAGATGCCAAATCATTTATTTTTTTTCCATGGTGCTGCAGATTGAACCCAAGGTCTTTCATATACTAGCCAAATGCTGTATCATAAAACTATACCTCCAACCTCTAGGATGCCAAATAACTTGATACAAAAAAGAATGATGCACAAAGACCCGAGTTCGATTCCCGGTACCAAAAAAAAAAAAGAATGACAACATGAATGTAATTCAAAACATTAGAAAACTATAAATTGTTAATATATTCTCAAACTTTACTGGTAATAAAGAAAATAAAACAATAAAGAATATTGCAAACACTATTTTTTACCTATTAGATTGGGAGAATTTTTAAAGATTAATTATATCCTCTACTTAGAAGAATTCTCCTACACTTTTAGTGGGAATGTAAACTTATACAAATTTTACATGGCAATTTAGTCCTCACTATCTATTTAAAATTTGCATAAGACTTTGGTCCCGAAATTCTATTTCTAGGACTCTGAGTTACATAGTCAGTAACATGGCCCTCAATGATCCTCACCTCCTGGTATTCTCCTTAACTGTGGGCTGGACTTAGAGATACACATCTAAAAAAGAGAAAAGTGGCAGAATTGATGAGACATCAGTTCTGAGATTAGATTATCAAAAGACCATGGCTTTTTCAAGTGTGGTGGTGCATTCTGCTAATCCCAGCTATTCAGGAGGCTGAGGAAGGAGTATTGCAAATTCAAGACCAAACCGGGCAATTTAATTCCATCTCAAAATAAAATAAAAAGGGCTGGGGATGTAGCTCAACACTGGATTGTTTACTGAACGGGCATGAGGCCCTTGGTTTAATCCCTAGTACTAACAATAACAAAAAGAAAGAAAGAAAGAGAGAGAAAAAAGATGAGAAGAGAAGAGCAGAGCAGAGCCAGGGTCCCAAGCTTGATCCCTGGTACCAAAAAAGAAAGAGAAAGAAAGAGAGAGAGAGAGGAAGAGAGGAGAGGGAGGAGAGGTGAGGGGGTTTCCATCAGTTACCCTTTGTGAGGACTTCAGGCAGCCAAGAGCCAGGCACACATGGTATAGACCTAAGTCCTACTAAAAACCACATGTATGAGCTTAGAAATGGATCTTGGGCTCCCAACAGCCACATCAGTAAGCTAGGAAGTGAAGCCCTAAATTAAGCCTTCCCATGAGACTGCACTCCTGCTTGAACCCATGACTTCACCTCATGAGAACCTGAACCAGAAAAACCCAGCTAGGCCACACCTGTTACTACAGAGTAATAACTGATGTTTGAAGGCTCTATGTTTTAAAGCAATTTGTTCTGCAACAGCAGGTGGCTAATACACTAACCTATGCACTACTAGCAGAATTGTTCATGATAGCAAACAGTTGGGGATCTGGCTCACTTTAGAGTGCTTGTCTACCATGTGAGAGGCCTGAATTCAATCCCCAACACTCTCTCTCTCTCTCTCTCTCTCTCTCTTTGTGCCAGAGCACTCTGGGACACTGAAGCAGGAGCATCACAAGTTCGAGCCCAGCCTGGGCAATTTAGCAACTTAGTAAGACCTTATCTCAAAAGAAAAACTAAAAATGGGCTGGGGAGGTAGCTCAATGTGAAGGCCTTGGGTTCAATCCCCATTATTGAAAAGGAAAAAAGGCAAGTTCCAAACAATATGGAAAGTAGGACATTTTCTTTTTTTTAAAGTATGTGTAAGTGTCATTCTAATAAATGATAATAATGAGAGAAATAAAGAGATTCACAGTCAAAGGGAGAATCACAAAACAGGGGTTACCTGCCAAGTGCGATATAGGGGTGGTAGAAGAGAAAGACTTCCATTCTTAATCTGTTTCACTCTTCTATATATATTGGATGTATTGCAAGGACTAGGTATTGCTTTTTAAATTTTTTATTCTATATTTGATTTTAGCTTATTAGTACATTTGTGTACTATATGACATTTACATTCTTTGTGTGGAGTTGGCACATGTGCAGAACATATCTTCATTCCTCTTTTCATCCTCTTTCTCTCCCCTCACTCTCACTTCATCTCTTGATTCCCTTCCCATGTGACAATGATCTATCTCTCTACTTATCTTTTATTTTATTCTTTATTTTTACTCTGAGTTTCACATATTAAAGAAACCATGTGATATTTAAGCTTGTGTGTCTTATTTCACTTAATATTTGGTCTCAAGGTGCATCCATTTTTCTACAAATGACTCATGTTTAACCTACTTTATGGCAGAGTAGTAATCCATTGTGTGTAAATACCACATTTTCCTTATCCATTTATCTGATGGACATATGGGCCGCTTCTAAGATTTAGCTATTATGAATTGTACTGCTATAAACACGGTCATGTATATATCACTGTAATATGATGTTTTTAACTCTTTTTTTTTTTTTTTTTTTTGGTATTGGGGATTGAGCCCAGGACTTTGTACTTGCGAGGCAGGTGGTGGAACCACTGAGCTAAATCCCCAGTCCTGATGTCTTTAGCTCTTTTGGAAAGATACCTAGAAGGGGAATAGCTGGATCAAATGGAATCTCTAGTTTTAGTTTTTTGAGGACTCTCCATACTGACTTCCAGAGTGGTTGTACTAGTTTATATTGCCACTAACAGTGTAGAAGTGTCCTTTTCCCCCTGCAGCCTAGTTTGTTTTTACCTGATTTCTTGATGATGCCCATTCTTTCTGGGTTAAGATGGAATCTCTGTTGTTCTAATTTGGATTTTTTTTTAATGGCCAGCAATGGTGAGCATTTCTTCATGTATTTATTGTACTTCTGTGAAGTATCTATTCATTTTGCTTAATCATTTTTTTGATTGAGTCTTTTATTTAGGGGTCTACATTTTTTTAGTTCTTTATACATTCTAGATATAAGTTCTCTGTCTGAGGAATAGCTGGCAAAAATTTCTTTCCATTCTGTATGCTGTCTTTTCACTGTTAGTTGTTTTTTGTTTGTTTGTTTTTTACTGTGCAGAAGCTTTCTAATTTAATATGGTCCCATTCATTGATTCTCAAAACTATTTCCTGTGCTACTGAGATTCTGACTTTTTTCATTTTAAAAAACAACACAAAAATATAATTTGGCTCAGAAAGTAATGCTAATTAATGTTTAGGGCTACGGCTGAACTAAAAAATTGGGCACACTTTCACTGACAAATATGTCTCACTCATTATCTAAAGAAAACACTTAAATAATTAGGGATAAAAGTCAGTTTGCATCAAAAATGTTAAAATTAGCCAAGCACAGTGCAGCACACCTGTAATCCTAGCTACTCAGGAGACTGAGGCAGGAGGATCATAAGTTCAAGGCCAGCCTGGCAATTTAGCAAGCTGTTAAAATTTCCTCTGGCTGTGTGTTCTAAGATTCAGATAAGTACCATATAAATGTAAAGCATTATAAGATCATATATTCTTCTCTTTTGATACAGTTTACTATAGAAAGTCATCGATGGAATATTTTTAGAATTTTCTTGACCACCAAACTATTACTGCTACCATTAGGCAGATGCTATCTACTATTACCTTTCTCAAGGTTTCTTCTTGACCTTGTAAGGTGACTTTCTCTAAATCAAGTTTTAGTTTTAAACAGGAAAAAAAACTGTAACTGAAAAGATTTTCATCACTGTTTTCACCCTGAGACCCTTTCATATCCAGAAAATGAAAAATAAACAACAAAGTACTCATTACCTTGGTTGAATCATTAGAGTATTACAACACATTTTCTTTTCAAAATTAACTTGCAAAGGCGAACTTTCTTGGAAACACACATTATGAGTTTTTTTAATACCTTAAAAAGAATAAAGACATTAAAATAAAGGTATTAATTTTAAGGGCAAAATGAACAGATTTTTAAAATGTTTAAGATTCACAGCCAAATTAAAATAATAAACTTACACACCAAAAAATTAAAAATAAAAAAAATTTAAAATACAGTAACATTTACTATCTGGAAGGATTATCTAGTCTCGAGCTGCACTATTCCTTAGGGAAATGTGTTATCGCTCCCTAGTGGACACCAAGCAACATGTCGCTCCGTGACCAACAGGCAGTGGAATGTCCGAATTCCTTGAAAAGACAAGCGGTTTCTCAAATCCTTTGTAAGACAGGGACTCTCCACTCCTGAGCACATCTCTAGGATTCTCTTTTAGCACCTCTTACTCAGAACTTTTGGCAGTTAGGCCTCCCCATCTGTCCTATTAATGGATTTCCCTATAGAGGAGGGGGAGGTAATGACACAGGTTGAGCATCCTTTATCCCAAGTGCTTGGGACCAGAAGTGTCTCAGAACTGGGAGATGTTCAGATTTTAGAATATTTGCATAGAGCTTACCTGTTGAGTATCTCTAATCTGAAAATCAGATTTTAGATCTTGGATCTTTTCATATTTCTTATTTTCAGATTAGGGGTTTTGAGCCCATAATGAGTAAGGCCTATGTGCCAGGACCTGCAGGACACATTTTGCATACATTTCCCTGATCCTAACAATATTCCTATGGGGTAGGGACTTAATCTTAGAAGAGGAAACCACAGCTCAGTGAGATTAAGTGACATTGAAAGCTATACTGTTTTAACAAGCACAACTAGAATCTGGATCTGTTTGTATATTAATAAAATAATCCTGTAGTATGAACCACTATGTCCCACTAGAAGTATTTCTCAAATTATGTGTTTTGTGTTTTTGTGATTGTTCTGTTTTACTGAATTAGTAACAACAATAATACTGTACTTATCAACTTAATGTATTATATTATTTAATGAGCACCTCTGTGTATCCGACTGTATTAGTTAGCTTTGGCTAACAAATCACCCCAAAATTGTGCTCGCTTCGGCAGCACATATACAAATCACCCCAAAACTTAGTGTCTTAAAATAACAAACACTTGTTAGTGTCATGATTTAGCTGAGTGGCTCTTCTGGCCTAGGCTGGGCTCAGCTGTAGTTGGATCATCTAGGGATTTCATTTCCTGTCTGGGGCTTCAGCCAATGGTTGGGATGGCTGGGATCAATGAGGCCTCTCACCATATGGTCTTGGATCCTCCAGGAGGCCATACCGTGCTTGTTCTCCTGCTGGTGAGAAGGTTCTTAGGGCTGTCGTGGAAGCTACTAGGTCTCTTGAAGCCCTGGCTTGGAACTCACACAATATCACTTCTAGTGCATTCTCTTGGTATCAAAGCAGATCTGTGATCAGCTGAGATTCAAAGTGGGGAAACAGACTCCAGATTTTGAAAGGAGGGATTAGAAACAATCTGGGAACTTTTTTTGGTAATTGACCACATAGTACTGATTTTAAGAGGTGAAACTTGTTCTAGCAGAGCACAAATGGGATAAAAATCTCTGTCCTTGCAGAGGTTACATTCTAGCGAAAGGAGACCAATACTAAGAAAATAAATGGGCAAACTAATAGACCATGGAGTGAGACATATCCCAAGGAGGAAGTATGCCAGGGCTTCTGAAACCTCCACAACCTTATATAGTGATGGCAAACCTTTTAGAGCTTTCAATGATAACAAACAACCCACTACAGCATGGGTGCCATAGGTTCACCACCACTGTATACATTCCCGGGTAAAATGGGGAACTATTTGAGAGTTTGAGCACTGCAATGACATAATCTGACCTGTTTTAAAGGGATCACTGTGGCTTCTGTTTAGGGAAGGCATGAAGCTTAAAAATTCACCCATCTTGTCCATATACATATATATTTTTTTGGTACCGGGGGTCAAACTCAGGACCTTGTGCTTGAGAGGCAGGTGTGACGCCACTGAGCTAAATCCCTAGCCCCTTAAAATATATTTTTAAGATATTTATGGGAGATAGTTAATAGATGCTCATGGCTTAACATGTTTCTACTGGCTTGAACCACCAATGCTGCATGCATGACTATCTCATTGGGTGGCTTGTACCACGAGTGGTACAAACAGATCTAATCACTTTTATTGGTCTTTTTACTAATAAAATTAATAAAGCCTATAAATGGATCAAATATAGCTGCTTGAATAGGAATACTGTCCAAATATAAACATTAATACTGTTCATACCAATTAAAATTATTCCAATAATCAACAAATTTATTTAAACATTTTATACATAAAGGCAGCTGATTTGTGTAGAGTGCACAAAACATCATAACACATTTGGCATTTTTCGTGGCCACAGCAGACCCACTTTTTCAGATAATTTTTTGTTTGTTTTTTTGTTTGTTTGGTTTTTTTGGTACTGGGGATCAAACTTGGTCCTTGCGTTTGCATGGCAGGCGGCGGAACCACTGAGCTAAATCCCCAGCCCTTTCAGATAATTTTTGATAACATTCTCTACATGGCTTGCATGTGTTTCTTGCTGATCTTAAATAAGTGTTTATAAAGTGAACATTTTTTTCCAAATAATTTGTGCCTATGACATTTGTTCATAGGTTAGTAGCTTATCAATAATTAATTCTCTAAATTTTAACATTGAAACCTTACAAGTACCCTATTGCTGGTGTATATAATATGCATTTACAACTTCTGTACCACAAATTAGCTGTACTGCGATTTTTGTACCATTTTATGTTTTCCATAAGGAACTGTATATGATATCTGCTCTGCTACATCAATGCCTTTCTTTACATTACTGTAATCAGAGAGGCTCTGAGATGTGGCACAAGCCACCTGATGGGACAGTCACGCATGTAATCCAAGCCACCAGATGAGACAGTTAATTCCAATCAGAGCCGCCCAGGAGCAAGACATACAAATCACTGCCCGCTGTGCACGTGATAAAAAGCAAAACCTAGGGCCGGGGATTTAGCTCAGTGGTTCCGCGGCCTGCCTTGAAAGCGCAAGGACCCAAGTTCAATCCCCAGTACCAAAAAAAGAAAAAAAAAAGCAAAAGCTATCTAAACATAGACAATGAAAAGTTAGTCACTCTCCACCTTGACCCCTGCCACCCTAGAACCCTCTATGAGAGCAACTACTGTTACTGGTGTTTCCAGAATTCTTTAGAAAGAGCCTATACATATGTAAGCTCCTTCGTGCCTACGTAACAAATATTTGAATCAAGTGAATACTGTATTAGTGTTGTTGAAGATGTAAAAGCTGAGAAATGTCTTTTTGTTTCTTGCTACTTCCTCGCTTTCCCTTTTCCTTATGAACACACACTAAACACTCTCAACCTCTACCGTTGATCGCACTATTCCGTCCTCTTAGAATGTCTTACGTGACACCACTATCCAGCTTGCCCAAGTACCATGCACTGTACCATTTTTAAAGGAATGTGGCCCAATGTACTTCATCATTGTCGTTTTTCTTGTTCTCCTGGTTCAATAATAGTTTTCCTTGATAGGATGTAAATGCCATACGATTTTTTAAGTCTTGTTTTTTCCCTTGGTCACTTGTTAACTTTATCTCCTGCTATACAAGGTACTCATTACTGTAAAAAGATAAAGTGTTTTTACCAGAATTTATTTCTTTCATCAAGAAAGTCTATTAGCCAGGGAATATGGCACAGACCCGTAATCCCAGCTATTCTGAAGTTCGAAACAGGAGGATCACAAGTTTGAAGCAGCTTGAAAACTTACCAAGAGCCCATCTCAAAATAAAATAAAAAGGCCTGAGGGTGTAACTCAGTGGTAGAGCACTTGCCTAGTGTGTGTAAGGTCCTGGGTAATGCAAAAAGAAAGATGAAAAGAAAGGAAGGTGAGACAGGAGAGACAGAGGTAGGGAGGGACAAAAGGAAAAGAAGAAAAGTCTTATTATTTAAAAAATTGAATAAGCCAGAGCCAGCCATGGTGGTGCACACCTATAGTCCCAGCTACTCAGGAGAATCATCTGAGACTAGGAGTTTGGGACCAGCATGGGTAACAGAAAAAGACTCCATCTCTAGAAAAAAAGAATAAATATTAGCTTAAGTGAAAAGAACACTTTGTAATATAGATGACTTAAATTCTGACACAAGCCCCTTCCAACCAGACTCACAGAACAGTAAGAGGAGCTGGAGCCCTGCAGTCCATGGAGGATGCTGAAGACTGGGGCTTCGTACCACCTGCTCCTGCCCTCAGGATATCTGCTGCTGTGGTGGAATTCTGCTTGCCATTTCTGGAACTTCGCTCGGTGGGTCCAGAGAACTCTTGGAGCCTGAAGCAGTATAGCTAAGGAACAACCACTACTGTAGGGATATCACATTCATGAGGTGTGGCATTTGAGAGGTCATTACCACCCTTCTGTCCTTTTAGCACCGTGCTGTAGCCAGTTCAACCGGCCTCTCATTCTGTCGGCTTTGAGGAGTCGGGTAAGACTCTGACTTCTGGAATCACTCCAACTTTGAGGGAATGGCTGCGTATGTTTTTTGACCACGTGATTCCTCAGAGATAGGGCAGGAATCTGAAGGAGTTAAAATGTTCTAAAATCTGACAAGTGACTGGCACACGTGTAGAGTGCCTTGTGACAAAAACTTAAGACCTTGGGTCTAGCCCTCTCCTCTTCACCTCATTAAAATACAGGCATGAATCAGAGTTTTATTTTAACGAAATGCACCCTCCTTCAGAAACCCCTCACTCCTGGGCACCTGTCTCCTTGAGCCAGGACAGAACTTATTACTTATGAGCAGGTTGTCTGTATATAATATCCTCTAGGGACAGCCCACTGACTCATTCTTTTTTATTGTTTTTTTTCTGCAGTCCTGGGGATTGAACTCATGGTCTTTGGACAGAGTTACAACCCCAGCCAGCCGTTTCTGAAATTTTATTTTGAGAGAAACTTGCTAAGCTGCCCAGGTTACACTTGAATTTGCAATCCTCCTTCCTCAGCCTCCTG